TGAAGCACACACCCTGCCGGGTCAAACTTTCTTGTCATCAGTCAACTATCAGCATAATTTGTATATTTTGTTGAAGTTGGTTACTTTGAAAACCGAGAAATGTAATGTTAACTACATGATACTTAAGCCGTGTGTTTTAACGTCACGTGATCGCGCGTTACCCTTGACCATGACTATGCAGTCGCTTTGACCTTGACATCACAGAGTCTTGTGAATAATAAACAGAGGGGCTGGACACCACTGCCCGTGGTTTGTTTTCAGGCAAACAAGGTGTTATTTCCCTGTCTAGACGGCGAGAGTTAATGACATACCATAAATACATAAAAAAGGAAAATGCTCTGATTATCCAATATCCTTGTCATTGTGAACATGTACACTGTGTACATTTTCAGTCCCCCGTTTTGTACTACTTACACCATTTTTCTCCTCCGCGATCCCTTTCCCGTATAAGTTTTAAACCACCAATGGTTGTATTCTCTCATCATGAGGTGTAGGTTATATTGACCACGAAGGCAGGTAGTGCATTTACGTCTGCAAAAGACAGTGCTCAGAGATGTCATCTTGTGTTATTTCCATAGGCGCGCCGAGGAATGGGTACTTCTTACCAAATATCGAGAGATGCATCCTCCACAGGGTCACGTCAAAAGGTACGGCTAATTTATTTATTTGTAGTGAATATGCGCATTGCCTTGGTGTTTTAAATATGGAAATGAGAAGGTAATTTATATAGAACGATATTAATTTATTTTATGGTCTTTTATTGATGCACTTGTTCTGTCAAGCTACCATTTTCTGTCTGGTTATAGGCGCAAGGCCTATTCAAAAATACGCAAAACTAATATGAGCAATGGGGGGATTACTTCGAAATATATATATTTTCTTCCTACTCAAGTGAGCGTCACAGCACGCTTTACAATTTTGTTTTCTTTAATTTATTCCTGAATGTAATTTTTTCATAATTTCATCTCAGCAAAAAAAAGTAAAATTAATAAAAAGTAAAGTAAAATTAATTTATTAAATTGTTGGATTTCTAATGTTAGAATGCAAATTTTTAACTCGATTAAACAACTGTATTTCTCATAATTAGTTGCTGGCTAGTTCAAACCTGTTGGTTTTGGGAACCATTTCTTGCTATTAAAAAAAATATAGAAAGAGTTGTATTTTTTTACTAGAATTACAATAACACTTGCAGGTTTTGCATATAGGACAAAAGGTGTTCTTCTTATATAGACATCGGATCATTTGATTATTTATGTTATGGATCTATCTAGAATTATTGCTCTTATACTCTCACCATTGCATTGGTTTATTAATTGTAAACTCAACAATAAACGATGTTGCACTTATATGCCCATTGTCTTATATTACTGTTCAAATTTATTTAAACACACATAAATATAACATATACATTTTTTTTTTTAAATACATGCATACATACCCATTTTTAAAGCAGGCACTCATACCGAATATGAGAAAAATAAATATATAAATAAACTCTTTTCACAACTATATGGTTTCAGGGGATATGTTACTCAAATTATAAATGTTCCGTGCAAAAGGCCAGTTCAGCAAAACATATGGGCTCACGTAAGGTTTTCTTTTATTCGCCGGTTCTAAGCTGAGCAGCTGGAATGTGAAGAGAGAGATCAGTGGGTTGAGCAGAAAGGGGGCTGATAACCTCTGGTGGCGTATGGTGGAAATATCAGGAAGTGAGCAGTGTAGTAGACTCAACACGAAGACACATGCTTTGCACAGGTCTTTACATTTTTGTCTGGCACACGTACTCTTACTGAGTATGTGTGTTTAATTTAAGGAGAAGGTAGCTAACAAACTAGTAACATGTAGGCTATATTTGTAGTGCATATTTAATGAATTTGCTAGTGTTTACGAAAAGGCATGCTACGCATACCGGACACACATTGAATTATATGATTATGGGTTGATTAAACTATATCGACCTTTACATTTATGCATTTAGCAGATGTTTTTATCCAAAGCGCCTTACACTAGAGGAACAAAGGCAATTCTTCAAAGATCCAACAATATTTCTAATACACAACGCCAGGTTTATTTGAAAATGTAGATTACGAAGCAAGTTAGTCTTGCTTAGTGCGGCTGATTTAATTTCCACATGTATATTATATATATTTATTATTTTATATATGATGGATATTATAGTCTATGATATGTATAATATTTAAGATGCATTGTATCTCTTCCAATGTGAACCAGATTTGCATCTGTAATGTTTTTTTTTCTATTTGTATTTTATAAACTTAGAATATTACCAGCTGCACAGCCCATGAAAGCAACATAATAAATAAATATAGAATAAAAAATAAATATGAACAGAAACTCAGGTCAGGTTTGCGATTTTTAAACGGCGTAAAGTGTTGCAACGAACATCCTGATTTCTGTTGAACCACTTTAGCAACAATTGTCTTGTTTAAGCTCAATTTATAATTACTTAATTTAAACAACAATTCTACCTGTTGTTTTAGAAAAAGATACATGCAATAGTTCAAACGCATTAGTTACATTTGTGTGATCATCATACACACTTTTTCTGGAAGTTGCGTCTTTAATTCTCTACGTTGTTTTCTAAAGCTGTGTTTTTATTGTTATGGTCATTATTTTAATTTACTATTGTAGTTAGCGTTATTATTAGTATTATATTTTTAAAGTCTATTAGGATACCCAATTATATCATCAAACATTCACCCTTTCTCCAAATTGAGTTAAAGTATTTAAGAACAAGTATTTACGAACAGGAACTTTGCATTTAATTCACATTTTAATTTATACGTTTTTTGTTTCCTCAAGAAATTGGCCTCGGAGGACATTTACTGCAAGGCTTTCACTGAGCCAACCTGTCTTCCAAAATCAAAGACAATAAAAAGGCCTTTGTTTACGCTATGGCCCTGTCTGGACGGGAAAGAGATTCCAAGACAGCAATCTCACACCGGCGCAGACAGTGCACTAGACACTGACCTTGAACTAACAACTATTTTAGCCATTTTCCAGAGATTTTGGAGATATCAACCATAGCCATCCTTCTGGTAAGAAAATATAATCTTTTAACTGTGACGTCTAAGCGATATTATTTGAGACATTGAGGTTGAGGCGATTTTTTTTTTTTTTGACTACATTTAGTTGTTGAAATGTCATTCATTCCCATTGTGAGACGTTACTCTTTGAACAACTTGTTGTACTCTGTTTTATTATTGGGTGGAAATAATGAAACATTCAAAACTGATAAGAAGTAACTAAGAAAATGACACAACTGAATAGTCTAATACTTAGCATGAGTGTTTTCTCTAAGTATAGTGACTAAATGTCTCTATAGCTTCATATTTGGTGATTTAAATTTATAGTAACAAAAAAGTCCTGACATTTCAGTGAAATATCTGATAGCATTTAAAATGTATATGCATGTGTTGAATACATAGCATGTTAATTAGTTACATTAATCTGGCATTGAGTAGTCTAGCCGTAAAACAGGCACATGTGTCTCTCAAATTTGGATGTAATAATCCTTGGGCAATTTAGAGGACAACATTTGTAGTCTTTTGGTTGTTTTGGATCTCTGTTATTTGTAATGAGCTGAACACCGGATTTCCTTTGCATTTTAGCCTAGATAGTCATCGCCATTAATGAAGTTGTTTGTGGTTATTTTGCCTTTGTCGCTTTATTTGAAAGTAGACTAAACAAACAAAAATAAATGAATAAATACACAAGTTGCAGTAATCATAATTACAAACATGCCCCCACACAGATACACTGACACAAGCTTTAGATCAACAGCAGACGCAAAGTTACCGTTTCTCAAAGACTCGTGCAATAAACAAGGAAAATACAAATGATTTAAAATGAACGAAGGCAAATATAATTTGCTCCTTCATAAATATATGTCAGCATGAGCATGTGCGCGAGATGCTAAGCAAACGCATACATAAAAAAATGTTGTTAAAAAGGTTATGACGGAATCAATCCGAATATTCTAAAAAAAAAAAAAAAAAGTAGGCTATTACATAGTTTTTAAATAGGCCTATTGTAAATATGACAGCTGTATCCACATCTGACAACCTTTAACTTGGTTATTTGCATTCCACTTCCAAAGCAGAGAGAAAAATGGATATAATTTAAAACAGTGTTTTTGACACTAAATACAATTAGACTGAAAATCCCAATGTATTTATTTATAAGTATTAACTTGGACAATAAAATACAATACAAAATAAAAAGGCTTGAAAGATTGGACAAACACTGATTTGCACTTCTATCAACTTTGCGTTACCAAACACACCAATGTGGAGCGAGGGTTTAATGCGTATACCCTACTCTTTTTATTGTCTTTTTGTCATCTTAATCTTTATTTTTGCTTCATTATGTTCTCAAAAAATACACGTGACAATGACACGGCGTTGCATTTGATATCAGGAAAATGTGCTTGTATGTTATATATTTACAATCAAAAATCAATTAATGTGATCCAGTGTGGTGTATTTGGAGCGGCAGAATCATTTTAATGCCGTCTGCCAGCTTGTAAAATTCAAATAAAAGAATTGCGAGATGTGTAACAACTCTGCATGAGTTTGACTGCGAGTATTTATAGGATGTATCTGTTAAAGTTGTTCATGTGAGGTGTACTAGAGCATATTATCTCAAATATAGGCTACGGTCTTTTAAAAAAATCTTATAGAATATCATCTTCTTTTACGGAGCCAATGGTTTCAACCTGCTGACCCCACTACAGTAAATATGAGTGGAGTTTAGCACTGAGCATCAGTATTTCTTTAAAACAAGCCTGTAAAAGATGAACATCACATCTTTATATGACACTGAATTCAACCGTAATTTGTTTGAAAACAATGGCGAAAATCACCCTCTGCTTTAAGGGGGAAAGGAGCTTTTTCTTTGTGGGGAAAAGGTGTTTTATTTATTTATTTTATTTATTCCATGTAATAAAGATTAAACGAGGCTAGGGACACTTCTATATATTTCTAAACAGGAAAGTGAAAGATGATCAGTTAAGAACCTTTGAGCTAGGGGAAAAGAAAAAATGGATTTTACATTTTTAATAAGATATTTTATAGTATTTTAAAAAAGCATATAAAACCCGTTATACAGAAGTTAATGTTTTGTTTTGTCTGAAATGGACCAAGTGGGTGGTACCTTCTAGTGTTCGAGTAAGCTCCGGCACGTGACGTGGAGATGACCAATCAGGTGCACCTCCAGGTTTAACTACGTTAAATGTCAGATTGCAATAAACTAGAAGCTGTTGGTCTGGCCCGCGGAAATGGGCGAGCATAATCTTCTTAATCCTGGGTTTGTGGGACCTTTGGTAAACATCCACACTGGAGACAGGTTTTACTTCCCGAATTTTAGAGCCTCAGGGGGACAGCTGGCGGGGCTACCGTCTCTCTCGTACCCTAGAAGGGACAATGTTTGCTCTCTCCCGTGGAATCCATCGGAGTCGTGCAATGGATATCCTCAGTCTTACTTTAGCAGTCCCGTATCCATTAACCCCTCTTTTAATCGATCTTGTGAAATAACCCGACTGGAGGAAAGCAAATGTTATTATGGCAATTCCAGCAACACCAGAGAGCCGTGTTCAGAGAGCAACAATCTCAAACGAGAGGAGCGAGCGAGAGATACATCAGTATCGTCTGATCACGGGATGCACAATGGGATGGGCAACAGTAGCACCTTCTCAAAGTATGATTATGGCACCGAACATCTGACCCAAGACCCGCCATCCTGTCAGTCGTTGGAGTCCGACTCCAGTTCTTCAGTGCTAAACGAAGGAGGAAAGACTTCAGCAGGCGATCCACAAACCCTGATATCGCAAGGAAACCACGCAAGCAATATCGCCAGTGGAGGAGGTTTGTCCCTCGCTTTTAATCACAACTGAAAAAGGCAACAGAAGCACACAGTACAAATGTCTTGCTCCAGCTTATTTATTTATTTATTTATTTTGCATGACGGTTTATTTAGGCATTCACTGGCAACTGTTATGGTTTTCCTGCATGGATCTTGCGTGGTTGTTCAAGGCCACTAGGGGTTGCCCTAAAATGCTCCACGTTCACCAGTTTAAGCGCTCAGTCATTTATACAACCAGTAAACACAACATCATAAAATTCAACAATCCCGTTGCCAATGTTTGGCGCTGTTTTAAAAGCATATTATTGTTGATATATGTAGGTTTTGCTAAAGCTTTCACGTTATTTTAGTAAGAAGAACAGATTTGTACAATGGCAATTGCTCTGTTCAGAGAAAAGAGGACGTTTGTTTTAATGACTCGTAAACTGAATTAATATCAGTTGCCGTGCATTTAATATGCCTTGAAACCGCTAAATAAGTAGGGTTCTCGCAAAAACGACAATTACCGCGTTAATGTACATTTAACTAGAACAGTTAAAGGTTCGAAGACTTTCTTTCTGTGTAAACAGATAAATTCGTCATATCGACAGCTTGCATCACACTTCAGATTGTCATTGAATCATGTCTAATTGTCATATTAACAGCCTCACAAAATAAAATGCACCAGAAATTAGTATTTTACGTGGCTTGATGTTTTTGATGTGTTGGCCTAAGATGTTTTGAAGCTCTCTCATGAACCCGTGCTATGCCCCTAGGTGCCCCGTGGTACCCGATGCACACCCGGACCCGCAAGAAGCGAAAGCCCTATTCCAAACTGCAGTTGGCCGAGCTTGAAGGAGAGTTCATGCTGAACGAGTTCATTACCCGGCAGCGACGCAGGGAGCTGTCTGACAGGCTCAATCTCAGCGACCAACAGGTTAAAATTTGGTTCCAAAATCGGCGGATGAAGAAAAAGAGACTGTTACTAAGGGAGCAGGCGTTGTCCTTCTTCTAAGGAGGCACACAATATACATTGCTCAATGCTAGTCCAACAGCAGTATTTAGTCAATGGGAATCTGCCATTGGCCCATTTTACTCTGAAAGTCTTGCCCCATGACGCATTCAGAAAACGCGAATAAGAGTTGAAACATTTATGGGTACGCGACCAAATGATAGCTCCAAAAGTCTGCTTATACTATGTGGTCTAGTGTTTATTTAAGAGGGTCTGTGCCCAGCAATTGTGGGCATGTACATGGTAATGTTTTAGTCTAAGTTTTGAAAGTAAAAAGCTGTCTAAGTCATCTCTCACTTTAGTTACTTTGAGGAATTAACTGCTAGTTAGAAATTCAGACAAATATAAGCTGTGAGTTAGAATTTCGGACAGTAAAATGTTTTCTTATCAGTCTTAATGATATTGAAATGATCGCTAAATATTTATTGTCGGAGTGTTAAAAGATCTTTTAATATTATAACACACTCGTGCCATAATCAGTGTTCTAAGCTTAAAAAAATTGACTGAAACTCCATATGTTGTCTCAACGAGAATCCTTAACTGTTCGTAATATCCCAACTATGTTTTTTATTTTGCCAGTTATCGCTAGGAAAGAGCCTTTCAAACTCAGTCCTCAACAATAAGACGCGTTAAGCCATCAACGTCTTATCTCCGTTCCGCAGTCATCGCCACGTGTTCTATGGCACGTTCACGGTCACGGGCACAAAGTTAGTGACCCAACTTATATCTTGGGCCCTTGAGAACCAAACTGCAATTACAGAACAGCTTTTATGAATAGACTTTGATCTAGCCTGTGAAATGTCATTCTGACAAATGTGAGGAGATTACCTACTTCAACAACTAGATATTGGCCAAAGTGTAAATTAGTAGGCCTGCAGCTAAGCCGCACAAACGCGACTTCCTGCTAATAAAATATGTATTCTTGATATACCTAGTGAAAAACGTTAAACTCGTCCCCATTATATTTGCATTTTTAGCAGCATAAATTTCCCATTAACGATAGCTCGTCCCTTGATCTGCGTTATGTGGACATATTCGCTTAGGTCTAGTTAATTAATTCACAACAACAATGCTTCTGGGAGAGAAATGCATGGTTAAGTAATATTAAGACGCGCAATGATAAATTAAAACAAAAAGGATTCATCAATTTATAACTGTAATGAAACTAGCAATCATACAGAACAGAAGAGATCAGATTTATATCCCAATAATCACGAGCCTGTTTTGCTAATTAGCGGGAACCATTGTGTTATTAGAAACATTATTTACTCAGATCATGGATTATATGCCAGTGAAATAGTTCATATTTGCTGCATGATGATAATGACTGTAGTTAGAAGGTAAAAAAGCCAATTTTTCCGGCTATTTTTTTTTTTTTGTCAAAAGGCGCATGTATTATTTTAAAACACCTTAAACTGAAAATGACGTTTTAATATGGACACGTAACTGGTTAAAAGTTTGTATAATCTAAAGTAGTTTATTCGTTTGTAAGTATTATTATTATTAAGTATTATTATATTAATATTATTAAGTATTAATTATTATATTATAAAGGAATTTGGCAGAAGTCGGTGCTACATTTTGTTTTCTTTTGTTGTTGTTGTTATTGATCTGACAGATTGGCGACTGTCATTTGCTTTAAACCCTATTTTTGTGAATCTAAAGAAAATACAATTATATGAATGACATCAACAACTATATAAAAATGATCGTCACATTTCCCCCTCTTTGAAATGTTTTGTGAAATTGTCTCCGATGTATAATTTTTTTGTTGTTCTGTGTAATTTTGTGAATGCTCCACTGTCGCATTCCTTTGTACCTTGCGATTAAAATGTCTTGTAAATAATGTTCATGAATGTATCCATATATGTGTAACCTACAGTTTCTGATTAATAAAGTCTTTAAACTTCATTTTATTTACTTATTTCGTGATGTGGGAGTGAGTGTTATCTAAATCTGATAAATGTGTTACCTTAACACATTTATCTATGAAGTAATAGCAGGAAAGCCGACTTCAGGCGCTCAAACGACCGTTTTCAGAAACATTTCGTCGCATTATCCTTATTTTGACCATATTGGCTCTTAATTGTTTCAGTAGCTCTAAGGTTAAGACATAAAAAAAAGCTTTTGTTGTTTCTAACACTCAGGAGAAAACTAAAAATGCAATCTGAATGTTTGCCAACATGGCCACATGTGCAACAATATTGATATGGTTTATCAAGTGGTTGGAAATGGTAAAGACATCCACCTAGTGGATAAATGGAACAGACGCCGAAACCGGCCCCGTGAGAACTAACTGCTGGACATGCAATACTCTATTTGCCTATTTCGGAACTGGATGGTTAAAGACGTTTTGGACCGTGTTTCGGCGTTTTAGTTCATTACTCATTACTGAAATATCGAGTGTGAGAAGACTGCGTGTTTTCTTTTTGATTGTTAGGATTTTAATAGGCGATTATATTGATAGTATAGATTCGTACGAATTCGTACGATTTGTCTAAACCCACGTGATGGGTAGGTTTAGGGGCGGGGTCAGGAGTAGGTCATTCGTACGAATTCATACGAATTTGGTAACTCGTAAAATATGTACGAATTAGCAAAAATCGTACTAATTTGTACGATTGAGGTCGTATAAATTCGTACGAATAAGCCACCTGGTAAAATTCGTACGAATTGCCGTGAGATCGGGTTGGTAGGCTATAGGCTAAATATATTTTAATTGCTCACGAAAAGGAATTAGAACTTGTACTGAATTTTAGGAGCAACTTGTAATCTAATATTGGTCATCATGAGGTTGCCTTGTTCAACCAAACGATGTAACATGCATTTGTTGTAACTTTTTTTTTAACTACATTTTATGAATGGAGAATCACTGATGATTCTATAGAATGCAAATAAAGTGGATCTTAGGGATGGCTAGTGTCAAGTCTATTGGCTTCCTTTAAAGCAAATGCGCTGCAATCGTAACAATAGCATTTTATGTGCTTGCGGCGCTTTTGACTTTGAGACTGGCCAAATCTGTTTATGACGACTCGTCTCCCAGGCTCAGAGGTCATTGAGTACCTCAGTGCCCTTCACACAAAACTTGTGTAGTCATGTGGTTCACTAAGTGCTCTGCTCCTATCACAGACGTGTAGAGACGGGAGAAGTCGATTCTGGCGTCGCTTGCACTGTACACAAGATTGTGAGAGTGTATGTCTGTGAAAGGGAGGCTTGCGTGTAAATGAGAGAGAGACAGAAATATTTCTTGACAATGGGTAGTTTTATAAACACTCTAAACACTCTTTAAACGTGTATATGCCCGTCTCAACGTGCTATAACTTTAGTATTTAGCGTATGCAGCGGTTTGGTTAGCCTACTTCTGTATTTAAGCAGTGTCAACATTTGCTTGGTAGCGTTGAATAGGCCTATAGTTGAAATTACAATCACTGACACCCCACTGGAAAAAAATGCCTTCTTTCACGCTTTATTTCATCTGATTAAAAAAAGGTCATCTTAAAAAGTTATTGGCTAACCGAATGTGCGAATACGAATCTTATCAATGTAATGCAAATTGTAGTGTAGTTTGTTCTGATTTGTCATTTATCTGGCTTAAAATTACTTAAATAATGTTCTTTGTTTGAATTATCTTTGTAAATTTCTTATAAACTTTCTGCATGACATTTTTAATTGGGCCTTATCTATGTTGCAACGATACATATTGGGCAGTAATGACGGGGGTGAATGGTTCCTTATTATATTATTTTCTTCGTCTACATGTACTGCCAGAATTTTTGTTATTATTAACTTCAAAACAAGACATTTCACAATTAAAACTTCATTATTTTCTTATTTATTTACTTTATTAACTTGTACCTTCGTATAATTTTTACTCGCAGCAACGTCAACTTTCATTCCAGTTGTATTTAATATTTAGTATACAAATAAATTCCTTCTTTACAGAGTGTTCATAATAACATGTATTTAAGGATGTTAACGTCTTGCTTTTGGATTATAAAACATTTCAAGCATTTAACATATAAACAAGTCTTTAAATGCAGTTTCCCTAAGCCATGGGACATTTTTCTGTTACTATAAAGCTTCGGCACGACGTCAAAAATAAAAATAGCCTATATAATATAAAAAATAACTACAGCATAGGCTACATACTTATTGCATGAGTGTTTCTTTTTTTAAACCTATTATGTTTGTATTTGTATAAATATATAATTTCTTTGACTTGCTTTGACTAGAACGCATTCCCTTGCAGTTATTTTTAAGTGATTAGAAAATATTATATGGGTAATATTATGCAGCGTAATGGCACAACTCTATAGAGAAACGATACATATACTGGAAATAAGGCATCGTCATATGCTTGTCGTATGCAGAACAGCGCGAAACTAATGGATGCGTTTTCAATACGATCATTAATACTAAAGACACATGCTAATGTGTGATCTGCAATACAATACCTGAGCAAATAAAAAAAGGGGAAAACGTGCAATGAGAGAGAAAAACCGCACACAACAACGCAAATATTGTTGAATGAAAGTTGTTATAACTATTCAGTTTTGAAGAAAATAACCTCTTTTTGCAAACTATTGTTTTGACTGTTTAAAGAATGTTGGGGCCTTCTTTCCGATCCCACCCCTCGCGTTAGCCCTGTCTTAGTGGGCGGGAGCAACTTACAAATTGAAGGTCAAGTTAGTGTGTCCCATATATAGGAACCACGTATCCAATGGTGTAGAATTCAATCATTAATATGAAGTTAACGTACACCAAATATTTAACCGAATCAACCAATTATTTTTTGTAATAATGCGTTGAGTAGCCTATGCTTAAACATTTTAACTCGTTTCAGCAATGCAAACAACAATTCATATTACAAATTTATTTAACACAACCACCCTTCTTAAGAGATTATCTCCTCGAAGCCTAAGACATATTTTAACTCAATTAGAATTATTTGGTGGACGGGGCGAACATAAACATTTCCGATGTTCGTTGCGACAAACCTTTGTTCTTGCTAATCTTGGATCCAACTTCAAAGCGATCTTAGACGAATATCTGGAAATTAATTGTGTAAGTGAATCAGCTTTGTGGAGGAAGGTCCTGGAAATATTTACTGTGTTCTTACCAATGCAGAGTAATATGTAATGGTTTTAATAAGGCCATATCTACCAAAAAAAAAAGAAAAAAAAAGGAGAGTGAAGGTAGGCTACTGGCCTTTTGTTATGTAAAAACGCTATGTTGCTTAGACAAAGTCGTGCCGTAGACATGCGGTGTCATATAGTAGTTTTGTTTTGAGTAGCTACATACCTTTATCTTGTCATCAACAAGCCATGTCGGAAATCTGGTTTCCGCTATAAATGCCATTCCGTTTACTGTCATCGAATCATTTTGATAAAAAAAATATGAAGTAAACATCTTGGTAGATTATGTAAGCAGCATTAAGTGGCATTTGCATTTCAGTGCAGTTAAAAAATAAAAAAATGATGGGACACAACGCAAATAATGACAATTATTATCAGTGGAGTAGGCTAATAAGGTTCTGACTTGAAGAACATTCGATGCATAGGCCTATTTAGCGAGGCATTATCCACCCATGATATTTAACAATAGATTATTTGATAAATATAAATATAGATTACAAGAAACGTTTAGGTGGGTATTCTTTAATTGGATATACACATTTTGTGGCTTCGTAAACCCATATTGATGTTTTTAAAATATTGTTATTGAAAACAACATCAATTGTCTTTTTTTCTTTTATAATAGTAGAAGAAATGATCGTCTCACTTTAGCGCTTTTCGAGGCATAACCTGCTTAAGATTTTTATTAGCCTATTATTCGGAACAAAAAGCAATAGTCCTGTATCAGTCGAGTTTAGGAATTTACTTTTCGGGTGTGAAAACACATGAAAATAATTACATACAGAAATAATATTTTGTGTAGGCTACCAATAGCATTTTGTGTACAAACGGTGTTCAGGGGGTGGGGGTGGGGGGGGGGGGGGGTCTTTAAAAAATCGCTATAGCGTATCTCAAAACGATAAGTTTCCTCAGTTTGCACCCCGTAAATTTTAATGGAAATGTACAGAATTAGCCATCTCTCTTGTAGCTAAATGTATTGTTTTAATCACATCTAGGCCTACAACTAACAAAATATTTAATATCACTCAATATAACAAAGATTACTTCGATTGTTTGTTCATGCTCTGACTTTACTGTTTGAGCAACAAGCTTCTAGGATTTCTATGATTGCGATGTTCAGTTGACACAATTGGGCACTGGTTGCCTGTAGCTCAGGCTATGCACTCACGGAGACCTCTGTAAAAAGAAGGGCCATTTTTGTTGTCGCTTGAATCTGTTCACAGCTCATACGAGCGAGTTTAACAGCCCGACTTACATCCAATTAAATTTATCTAGGCCATGAGGGGACAGTAATGCTATTACACAGTTTCCCTTTTTAGCCCTGCTGAGGTTTTAGCCCTAGAGGTAAACTGAAGGGCCCTTGAGTGTTGCCTGCAACTGTTGTTTGGTCTCATTGTTGACATATCACGACTTCTGAATATGTTTCATTTTCTTTCGATGCTCAATCGGCATGAGGCAAAAAGTATTTTTGTGTTGACGTACGGAAGTAAAGTCGAAGAATGTGACCGCCGGGGCAGAGCAAACACTGAGATTGACCGTGCGGGCTATTTCTCCGGATCTCCTTTCTGAGCCATTAGCCGCGCCGTTTTAGTCCGAGTAACATTAATACGTGACTGTAATTTTAACTCTATAATTGTAGACCTTAGCTGCAACGGATTTAGAAAAATTCCACTGACAATGTCTTAAAGCTCACTGTTCTTCATAGTGATGGCAAACATTTACAAGACCTCTGTCTCTCTAGACTCTAAACGCCTTTCTAGCTTTTCTTTCCATCTGAACTTGCCCCTTCAATTCAACTGCTACATCACAATATCAACAATTGTCCAAATCTCCAGCAGGGGCAGAGCATTTGTGGGGATATAGTGCTTGTTTAGAGAATGAAAAGGGCGCACCTTTGTTGAATTTCAGGGTCCTACAGCCAGTAGTATAGTGTTGAAGCTGTACGATTGCATCGAATTAGTTGACATGCATGTGAAACCTGTCTCCTGTAGAACAACTATTGCAAAATCAGGTACAAAACATGTCAGATGCGGTAGTTGTTATGGTCTGCGTGAAAACAAGACTTCGTTGTGAAACGAGTAAGACACACAATGTGGGGACAAAATGTTAAGTTTTTCAGTAGTTATCTCGCAAAATCTTTCTCGCATTAACAAGTTTATGCTAAATAGAATGACTGCAAAAAAAAATCGATATTGTTCCTGATCATTAACAGTTTTACGATAGAGTTTTGTCTCAAATTGGTGACACTGCTATTTTTTGAGCTCGTTCAAAATAACTTTTATAGACCTGATTGACTGAAACCTGAATAGTAGGCTATACAGCTTTCGTCAATCATTGTATTGCATATCTTACTAGTTAGATATTTCATTCTTTGAGCTTTTTTAATTGTTTACCTTGTGTTTGTTTTCTTTAGAACAAAGCATTTCTTGCTTTTCCGCCGTTCGGCCTTTTATGGCGGCTGCAGTGAGAATTTTAGTGGTCAAATTCAAGTGCTGGGTCTGGGCAGCTGTCTGCTTTCTTTGTACTTGGTTGAAGGCATATTGCACACCAACCTTTTGTCAATTTTGAGAGGGCTCCGTTCAGAGAGGACTCATAAAGTCATTGCCACATACCTCCTACACAAATACGCAAGTAATCTAGCAAAATTCTGTTTAAAAAAACTTTTTAGTTGCGATGTGCAGTGTAACTGATATGAATATGTTTACAACAATCGATCATAGTTTGTTAATATGGACACTCTGAAAAGCTGCTTTGAATAAATAATAGACCTATAAAAATAATCTTTCTGACGAGAAACTATTAAAAACAATTGGTATCATAAACAATGGTAAATGTTATTAGTTTATATATGCTGCTCTGTGAAATGCTTCCATGATAGGTCAGTAAATCTGTATATGACATATCTGTACACGAACTAACAGTTAATTTAAAAAGGAAATAAATATTTTGAAACGAGTGCTACATACTGAACTTTTTTATTATTATAGTTTATTTCACGAATTAGTTTGTGATACAACTATACTGAAACTACTGAAATAATTTTCAGAAGATTAGCATGGTCTGTAGTGTTCGTATAGAGTTACTATAGATCTTTCTCTATTAAAAATAAGTTTTAAATGAAAAGCAATATTTTTCTTTAAAATTAGTATTTATCCGAATTCTGCAACAAAAATAAAACATTTTAGGCTTGTTTTATTAGACGCTGGAGGGTACATATTGAAACTGGATAGTATGTTTTGCCTTAAACAGATGCCTCTCATAAAATGGTCTCAGAGATTTAAAATATCCATGGGATCATTTGACGTGCTTTGCACATATTAAATACCAAAACGTGTAGTGCTGGGTGTAAGGAAGGTCGAACACAATAGTATGTTACACATAATTTTATTTTATTTTTTCATTTGATAAAAGACAGTGTTTTACATTCACGATAGAGTCATCCTTTATGATAAGTGGCATAAAGTTTCCTCCCCGGTTTAAAATTAAACCACATCTAAAAACAAACATAAAGCATCAGCAGCAATAATTGAAATCTACGGGTGGAAGTATCGTTTTCTGTATATGTTCCCAATGTTTTCATCAAAGGAAAAAAGACAAACTCACAAATGTTCTATGACTATATTCAAGAATTGGGTGGAGCTGACACGTGACATCTATAAGGCATGTTTGCTAACCATTCCATGAATAAATATATATGCTTTATAGGTTTAACGCAAATATATTTATATATAGCCTTATATAAAATTCTATGCTTTTGAACAAAAGCATCTTGACAATGCGGTAAAACTCGACCCTTGAATATAAGCAGTGCAGAAATCAACACTACAACAGAATAATAAATCATACCAGTTATCATTTTAAAGTTGTAATAGTTTTGTTACATGCAAAAGTCTTAGATTAGAACATGTAACGTTATATAAGCATATAATTGTGTTGCCTCAGACTCATAAAATCAGCGTTACTCAATACCTACACAGGCTTCAAAACACGTACACATAAATAGAAAATACTTCTCTTCGTTCTCGCAAAACCCGATTAAAACAACAAACAAAAGATGTAACTGTTTTACATGGTTTTGCATGATTTGAAAACTAATCGTTTGAATTTCACAGATCTTACCCAACAGAACCACTCCTACGCATCCATGTGTTCCAAATTGATATATGACAATATCTACTTTCGATCACGTGTTGCGGGGCGACTTAGACGGATTGCGCGTCATCTCGCCTTCCCAAATTTTCTCCTTCTGCAGCCCGAATCCAAAACATCATATCTGTAGTACGGACTACAGGAGAAAGATGTTTAACTCTGTTAATCTGGGCAACTTCTGCTCCCAGACGCGTAAAGACCGGACATCCGAGTTCGGGGACAGGACGGGCTGTGCCTCCAACATCTACCTCCCCAGCTGCACCTACTACGTTCCAGAATTTTCCGCCGTCTCTTCGTTCCTTCCACAGGGGCCCTCGCGACAAATCACATACCCCTATTCCACAAATCTATCTCAAGTGCAACCAGTGCGAGATGTTTCTTATGGTCTGGACCCGTCCAGCAAATGGCACCACAGAACCAACTATGCATCTTGCTACTCAGGAGAAGACCTGGTGCACAGAGACTGTCTTCCGCCATCCACCATGACAGAAATGCTCATGAAAAACGAGAGTGTGTACAGCCACCACCACCACCACCACCAGCATCATCCGAACTCTAGCCACCCTTCCACCGGTTTCTACGCCGGCGTGGGGAAAAACAACGTGCTCCCTCAAGGTTTTGACCGCTTTTTTGAAACCGCTTATTGTAGCACGGACAATCAGTCAGAACATTGTTTACAAAAGAGCGAGATGAACAAATTAGAGACTTCGTCCCAACAAGCCACAACTGTTTCCGCAGCGCAAGAGCCGGAAAAGGACCCAGAGGATGAGGAGGAACATACCAATTCGGGCTCGTGCACTTCAGCAGCTACTAAGGACGGGAACGCGAGCAAGAGCAGCCATTCGAGTAGGTACCGAAGCTGTAAATGGGGAAAGGTTAAGGGACTAGCCCGGTGTTTTGTCGGTCAGATTTTATGTGGAGTTTTATAAGCATTCAAAGGATTTTATTATAACCTACAAAGCTCTTTCCTCCAACGAAAAGAATTTTTACGATGGGAAAGCGCTTTGAAAAAAGAGGATGTTATACACAGACGCTACTATCCCAGAGTCTGTGAAATTTTAAGAGCGCGCTATTGTGACAAATGCTAACTTTGATCATGAACTTGCGTTGAGCATTGCAACGGATTTTCTCGTTTAGCTGTCGGGGGTAAAAATCAATTGGGCAGAACATTACTTTTGGCATACTGTGAATTTTGTTTTAGCAGCTCGAATGTAAACTAAGTCCTTATTAGCTGTTAAACGTGCTGTGACTTGAGTTACCGTGGGGTTGATGTATATAGTCAATGACCACAATGTTAGTGCTTGCCCAGTGCCAGCTCTATCTATCTATCTATCTATCTATCTATCTATCTATCTATCTATCTATCTATCTATCTATCTATGTCTAAAAATGAAAGAAATTAATTTTAAAAGAGTTATTTCTCTTTTTGGAATGCCACAACATATACATTAAGGCCAATCAGAACTGTCGTAATTACGTTTCAATAGACATCATTGGATATTTTAGATTTCTGCTATTTGTTTTTGCGGCGCTTCTCAAACTATAAGTAGGCTTATAGCTTGCAGAAGAGAAGCTAACATTCACGGCCATTTACAAGGGACAGTACCTCAGGCCCATAGAAAGATGCATTTGTTTCTATTACAAATAACAAAGAGAACACATTTTCACGTCACGTGTTCTATAATTTGTGAAACACATTTTTTAATTAGCCTAATGTGATGCAAAAACAGGAAAAATGCATAGACAGGAAAAAAATCACTTTATAAGTTCAAAAGGTAAAAAACAAAGTTTTTTTTAATTCAAGAACCCTCATTTGTTTACGTTTTTGCCGAGTTTAGCATGCTGTTTTATTGTTTTCTTTTTTATATATATATACATTTTGATTTTTTATAAGATTTTTCCACGGCTGTAGATATTAGAGCATTGCATCGGAGTGACATACTTAGTTGTGTCTGCTTCCTCATATCAGTAATAGATGCTATCCATTAGGCATTTGGTGACACTGGAGATTACAAACACATCTTTCAATAAAAAAAAATAAAAAAAATGTGTTGTGCATTTATGCATTTCATTCTGTTTTTTGCAGGAAATGTTTTATAAGATAATCATTTAAAATGTCTTTTTTTATTATCCCAAGGTACTCCGCGCACAAGAAAGAAGAGATGTCCATACTCCAAGTTTCAGATTCGTGAACTGGAGCGAGAATTTTTCTTTAACGTTTACATCAACAAGGAGAAAAGGCTGCAGCTGTCTAGAATGTTAAACCTTACTGACAGACAAGTCAAAATATGGTTTCAGAATCGTAGAATGAAAGAAAAGAAATTAAGCAGAGATCGCCTGCAGTATTTCTCTGGGAATCCGTTGCTGTAATTGTTGAAATGGCGTTGTCTGTTATTTAATATTTCTGCAAACTCAAATTACGTATTTCTAAATATCCCCATCAATCTGCTAAAAATATTTTTTTTCAAGGCCAGCAACAATATTAAAAACTGTTTTTAAAGGTTAACGTGACTGTAATGGCTAAGGCTGGGGACAGAAAATGCAAATTGTGAATCACAAACTAGAAATGCCAGTTTATATTGACACCAAGAAAGTGTCAATATAAACTGCCATTTCTAGTTTGTGATTTACAAAGTAAAACTTACACTTCTCAAAAATTACATTTTTTTTTCAAAATGTATGTGACACCTCTTTTAAGTGAAATGTTTGAAATCTCCACTTAGAAAATGGTCACAAAATAGCCTACTATAATATATTATAAAATTGTATCCTTTATCCTTTTATGGTTGTATATATGTATATTAAAACACATACACTCGACTCTGGTTTAAATCTGGAGATGTCATACTTTTTTATGTTTTCACCATTTAGAACTGTGACTTGTACAATCTGTAATATTGTATTCCTTGTACAGAGAATATGCATTGTGCATTCGTGAATGTAAATATAATGTTATTTTGAGTATCCTCACCCAATCCCTGCTGCTATTTTTCTTTACATTGCCTTTGCAGCCGTGTGAGCTTTGTTGTTCGATTCTTTAAATTATTTGCTGTACGCCCAAAGTTCTCATTTTTCGGAAGTATTACTAAGCGATCCGAATTGGCCTGTGTACTATATATTAATCAAAAATAAACGCGAATAAAGATAAACTGTGATATGTCAATTGTGACTTGATTTTAAAAACACACAAGTTAGTCTACGGTGAAGTACAAATTGTGGGAATGTGTATAACAACACTGCAGTAAAAACAGAGATCTGAGAGAAGATACAATAAACTGACCACTGCCAAGCAATGAAAACTCACTCTCTATACCTCTCTCTTGCTCTATCTCTCTCTGTTTGTCGTCTGCCTTCCACACGTTCGTTCAAGTGTATCGATATTTAGCTATATCGGTTGTTTTTCAATGAAAACTGGTAAATATCAAAATATTTAACATTTAGGGAATTTTAGGGATGTGTTTATTTGTCTAAAGTGACTAAGAAAGGGATGCATGAAATTGCTCTTGAACACGTCAAAAATTTAGAGAGCATTTCGGTAACGACTTTTAGTACCTTCTAAATGGAATCGCCACTCTTGTAGTCTAGACACTGCAATAAAGTCAGGGCCCTAAATTGCCTTTTTCTGACTTAATTGCACCGTCTGTTCGAGGGGAATGGTGTTCACTTCCGCAGTAAATAGTAAACAAGAAAGTCCGGCTGCTAGGACAAAAAAACTGAGACGTTTAAAAATGAACCCTTATTGTCTATAGGTGCAAAAAAAACCTATCAAACGACATCTCCCACATGGAATAATCTGTTCAGAAGAAGCTGAGTTGCATGCATCTTGACAAACCCAACAGAGGTGAGATATTGGTATTGCATGTTGTCCCCATGTGCAGTTTTATATGTGATCACACTACATGGATTTTGTCACAACATGTGGGCTCATAAGGCGTGCAAGTGTGCAGTTGGCACTTATGCGTATGGAGAAAAATATATAATTAAAAGTTGTCTTTGAACTTCAATAATGTCAAGGCCTTCACCTTTAACCTATTGTAATAAAGTGGAATCAAGGAGCCCCTTTTGTCAGGAAACGTGGTGAACAGAACAGAACCAATCAGCGCAAGTGGGAAAGGACCAAGGAATGTCTAAGAAGCAACACTTTGACCTCTCACATTAAACTACAGCAGGTAACTTTTCCAGTTTTAGCACTCCCATTAAATACGCTTTATTGTCTCTGTAAAATGTAATATTTTCATGCTTGAAATATTTTTATGACATTTTGGCATGTTCTTGACCATTTAAGCTTGCTTGGTTGTGACTTTTCCCGGGTAACAGGAAATAGATTTCTGACAGATTTAAAACAGAGATCGGAGTAAATATGCATTGATGCTTGAACGTGAATCGAAAACGGAGGGGAGGTCCCTTGCGGGCTGAATTAGTGTACTGATTTATTGTTGAGATTTAAGCACAGTCAACTGTATTAAAACTCAACACATTTGTTCCTTTGTAAATTCCCAATGTAGTGACTTGTTACTTGTGTATGTGTGTGTGTGATGTGTTAGTACAGATGTTACTTTGCCACTGATCTTCGCTTGTAGAACTGTGGGAGAGAAATGGCGGGTGGGGGCATAGCCAAGGATCAAGGCTGGAAGGTCTTCTTGTCACACCCACCAACCTTGGCCCTGGCTCAGTGACGTAGTTAATTTGCTGAATTCCATTCTCTTGCGTCGTCACACTGAGGAGCAGGAACTTGGACTGTCCACCTATCAAACGCCGGAGATACTGTCGCCACCAAAGCAAAGCAATCCGCGCATATAGACTTTTGAACAATGACTAGTATAAAATCTTCATTTCGTGTCGTGGGTTGATTCAATTCATAAATGCGACTTTCCAAAACAAATTGATTTTGTTGTAAGACGTTGTGTGGATATGGTAATTGTTCAGAATACAGTAGCCTAATATCTGCTAAACGGAAAGCAAGAGCGAAATGGAACACTTTCGAAGGCGCTCTTAGTTGGCAACAAGGAAAATGGCGGAGGCTTCAGAGACATCAGCATAATGACTGTGGACTGAGTTACCACTGGATGTAAATACAACCTGGATTCAATTTTTACTTTTAAGTCACCATCATGCAACATAATCTATCCGAAGCATATGTCTTTTTTTTTTTTTTTTACAAAGTTAATCTAACATATTTGCATAAAAAAAAATATCAAGAAAATGTCAAGAGTCTAATATTTTCTGTTATGCCTATAATGCTCAATTGTCCCATTTGATAAATAACACTCAGGTTTCCAATAACATGAAGAAGAAAAAACAGACACATTTTTGGCATCAGATTTTATAAAATGTTGGAATGTTGGAAGTGACAACAGTTTCCAATATGTGTGGTCTGAAAGATTACTGCAAGCCGTACAGTTGCGTACTTTGGACAGAGCCTATTAACACTCATTGAATGCTTATACTTACTTCCGCTCTCCTGTATGTGATGAAAAGCTGTAAATACAATCTCCACTGGTGCCCACGAGTCATTTGTTTGGTCTTTCGTGATATTAAAATTTAATATAATGCTGATGTGCTTTCCGATTACCACTCTCTGATTTATAAATGTCTTTAAAACGTTACATGCATCAACCATAAATTGCCATGGACTTCTGCGGCTGGACGCCTGTTTGGTGAGGGGAAACGGTTAAAAAGCGGGTTTCTTTAAATTGGAAATATGTTTTATGAGTGGTTTTAGATCCCAAACAAGCACGGAATATCCTAGTCTGTTTTTACTCGTTTCAAGGCCAACAGACTTACGTAGAGGCCTAGGTGGTGAAATTGGATGTGTTGTTTCATTTTCCAAAGTAGTTTTGACGACTATTCTGTGCCATTTTAGCTCAATTTACAGCACAGTGCATGCAATGACCCTTAAAAAATTATCAGAAATCAATACCTGCTCAAAAACTTTTATTTGTTCAAATATAAAAATGAAATTATTGTGGAAAAAAATAAAGTGTTTTTTGTTCCTAAAAATTTTCCTAATTTTTTTTTCTTTTACACACACTTTTGACTATTTTTTTTTTTTTTTGCAATTCGATATTCTGTGTGATATAGCCCCGAAAGAAAAGTGGATTCGCTTTTTCTGTTTAACAGTAACAGCTGCATGTCGACATTTAAAAGTAGCCTATCACAAACGTCAATAGAAGAAAAGGGAATGTTTGAGAATACTCTTAAAAAGCCTCAAAGCCTTTTTCTTTTCGGCATTCACACAATCAAAAAGAGAAACAGATCATTCAAATAGCATAGGCCTATAGACCAGTTCGGTTTCTTCGTTATTTTTTGTAATTTTGATTCGTTGTTGTCGTTTTTCATCCTATGAAATAAGCTGTTCTGAAAAAAGAGACAAAAAACATTTGATCACGCTCTTTACTTACATTGAGACAATGACGTTACATATTTAAGTCGACAGTAAGTAAATACAGTTTAATGGTACATTTGTTCAATAACATTTTTAAGAAAGTACTCTCGCTGCAACACTTAAAATACATTACATTTAAATAATATACATCTGTCCATAATCCATAATGTACAGGCATTTTAAATGTTTTCATTTGACTCTCTCGTTGTTTCTAGACATAATACTCATCGAAACATAATATTATATTGAACAATATTTACTACAATTTAAATGTGTAAATGTAGGCAACTTCTGGAATACGTTTTCATTGTCACGACATCTGGAATCAGAAAGTCACTGCGCGAGTGGATGCAGCATGACCTGTAATTCACTGACACATTTTTAAATTTCAGTTTCCTATATTCAACATTGACTTGCAATTCCGATATACTTGCAATTATACCTGATATGCAATTATACAATAGAAATTATATAAGTTGTGGACAATTACACACAATCTCAGATTTATAGGATATATATATATATATATATATATATATATATATATATATATATATATATATATATATATATATATATATATATAGCCTACATTGATAAATGCATATTTTCAAACACAGGTTATTAATCCCTTAGAATAATGTGCATTTCATTTAGAAAAGTGTGTTAATATATGCATTTATATACGTAAAATATAATGTTAAAACATAAAAGACCAGATCCTGCAACGCATTGAATAAACTCATACATTTATATTCTGTCACGAGAGAGTGTATTTGTTTGTCTTAAAAGGCTGAGTGATAGACAAGTGAACAGACCAATCACAACAACGCCCCATGTTTTTAGCTGGGTCTGACCTCGTTGAGAAATGCATTGGCCAGCAAACATAGAAAAGATCATTCAAGTCCAAGGGTTAATACAGATGTTTAAAATTATATAAATTGTAGTAAGCAACACTAAAAATGACCTAAACAGAGTAGCCTACATAAAATACGTAGGCCTAATGTTTACGTGTTTTTCCACAGTAGCGTTTTTTTTCCATTCCTCTAGCTGATTCGATGCAGTTTGGTAAAACGGCAAAATAATGAACTTGTCGAACACGAAGTGTGTCATTTTACCCTTTCCCTAATTTAAAATGTGTGCTAAAATCGGAAAACATTTATGTAGTGTGTGTGTATATTACAAGGAATCAGAGGAAATGTGGTTGGATCCAGAAACACAAATTAGCCTACCTACACCCGTTTGACGAAAAACTACAGAACTACAGGGAAAATGTACCAAATAAAACCAGGTTTATAAGGCTATTAGCCTGTATAATTAAGTGACTGTGAGAGAAAAAATCAACACACTTACTAAAACTCACACAGCTAACGCTAACATAGGCTAAATAAACTGGCTGAGATACACAATTCAGAGCACGTTATTCAATTGTAATTATTTTAAAGTTTTCTCTTTGCTTTTTATGCAGCGTTGAAGATCACAAATGCATTTAAGATAAACATTTAATTGTATGTATAAATGTATGATCATTTCTGTACAATTTAAAAAATATAATGTGCTATTGTCGCCGTTTGGATTTTCTAAATGAATCCTTGGTTCCTCGTGTTTTATATTAGGCCTACATAACGTCAATTACACAGAAAAAAAAATGGCCAAAACCTAAGCAGTCATCTTTCCAAAAAGAAAAAAAACTAAAATATGATAAAATAGTTCATGTAATTAATATATAATTGATCCCCCTGATTGAGTTTGTAAAAGAGCGAAAATAACAAAGAATGTATAGTGTGTGTCGAGATAGATACACAGATAACAACGTCCTTATTCTATAAAATTGCTTGTCCATTTTTAAAACAGAGCCTACATGTGCAGACTTGTAAAAGTGTGTAACCATTCTCTATATTGACTAATCTTGTGAAATTTGCCATTGATTTCCATGAAGTGTTTAGTTTACTTGCCTCTCTCTATTTTTCTTTTGCAGACGCATAAGCCACGTAACGGATATCTGAAGACGATTGTTCTTTGTTCTGTTGTTGGTTTCCTTGTCCGTGAAAATCGGCTAGATGGCGCCATTGCTCCATGCTGCACCACGTATATTCAACAACTTGACCCCAGTGACGTCAAGACGGTCTGGCGCATCAAGGCCACTTTCAAAACCCTATTGGTCTGAAAATCACATGACAAAGCGCCTTGAATCCATAATTATGTTGCTGATATTTTTCGACCCCCCAAAATATGTCAGCGTCCTACTGTCCTTATCCTCTTCGGCATAAAGGAGATTGTATTGAATCAAAAGAAAAACGAGCCAAGTTGCAAAATGTCATGCCCGAACAACGTGGCAGCCAACAACACATTCCTGATGGACTCGCTGGTGGGAGGAACATCTCCGTTCAGAGGTGAGAGCTATTCAACTAACTCTGGAATGTATATGCAACCGTCTGCAGAATATGGTTGCTCCATGATGGGTAGTTTTGGTATTGTTGGTACTCCTCTCTCCAAACGGGATGACTTGCAGCCGAGTGGGATGCATCTCAGCAGTTACCAGCACTCACATTACCTGTCGCAGCGGGACGCTTGGATCGCAGGCTCTAAAACTTACAGAGGCTCACAACCTGTTGCCCACCCTTTGCACCCATGTTCCTTTCCAGCCAGCAATGTGAAAGAGGAAGCGATTCCTTGTCTTTACCAGCCTGATATCGACAGCGCCAAGGAGTCCGCTGAGAAATCCACCTACATCCGTCTGGGAGACAATAACAGCCACCCGAATCAAAGCGCCGTCTCCACCTCCGATTATTTCCGACGGAGCCAGGTGTACGCCAGTGAAAGGGGCCACCATGGAAGAGATGAGTTCGGCTCGGACTTTAACCCAATTCCCAGAATATCCACGCCTGTTGAGGCACTAGCAGCAGATTCATATGTCAAAAGCAGCAAGGCAAGGCAGGACCCAGAAGACAAGGGAGGGAGTACGCAGGAAGACGACATGGATCAGAGACAGGCTAGAAAAGAGGAGAGTGTCGCAAAAATAGACAGTTGTTCTGATGATTCCGAAAGCGAATTGAAAGGTGATAACTAATTATTCTCTCTCTCTCTCTCTCTCTCTCTCTCTCTCTCTCTCTCTCTCTGCCACACAAACACACACACATACACACACACACACACACACACACACAATAACAGCGCGCTTCCTTCTATGTACAACATGTGAACTGACAACCAAGTTCCACGTCAAAATTGCAGACCAGTTTGTTGCACAGACGACTGTTTAGGCCCTTTCTTACAGGCCCAGATTAGATCTTCTTCTGTTAAACAGTATCATGTGTGCTTAAAAATGAAACGGCATTTAACACCGTTAAAAAAAATTAAATGGGTCTTGGCATTGATATAAACTGGATCACTTAACACGCGGTGCTAAAGTGCGCTCTACAATACATCCATCCAAGCACAGCATAACAAAACAAAACAGTTCACACTAATCAGCTAAATTTCATTAAATTCGATTTTTTTATTACACTCCAGTTGGTTGTAGTTCTGCCCGCAATAGTGTAGAAGTGAAAATGACGTTTTCCCCGCATGCCACAATATATATTGAAGTATTTTCTGTTATTATATATATACACAGGTTTAAATAAAGGATCATAAATGACTACATCATTTCTTGATGACATTGGTAAATATTTGTATAAAAACTGGTTTCCATTTAACGAAAAAACAATAGGCGTTTTAATAAATAATGTCTATTTAAAATATTTTACACGTTTAATTATTTGGACATGTCTAGCGCTTATTTTATAATGTTGTTTTGGTATTTTTTCGTAATAAAATGTCAGTAAACTTCTTCATTAAAATCGTATTAATGCAATTTGAAATCATTGTGTGGTCCTTAAATAACTAAATCAATGTGGTTAAATAAATGTGTAACTGATATAACTGACAAGATACGACAAAAGAAAAAAACTTCATTTATTTTTGTAATCTCTGCATTGCTCTCAACTTTAGGCAAGTTAAATTCAGTTTATATATATATAGGCTATAATTCTTTTCTTTTCTTGTTTGATTAATCTCCGTTATTAAAATGTTTGGTAAGTAGGCCTAGTCTATGAATTTTTCTGAAATCTGCAGTAATAACACACTTATTCACACTTCCATCTGATTTTTTTTTTTTAAGTCTAGGGTAATTTGTTTAGTTAATCTAACGAGATAATTCAGCAAAAAAAAAGGAAAATAAATATTTGTTATGTTACTTTATATTATTTGCATAGAATTGTATGTTTATCATTGTTTTTGTCTTGGTGGATGACGTTTCGATTCGTATTCAAAATAATTGCAGGCCGATGACCTAATGAAATCATTCAAATGATCTTGTGAAATTGGACGGAAATGTAGTCCGTCCAAGTAAGTACACATATATAGATAATATTTTAAAATGCATAAAAGAAAATGTCAGATAGCCTATGTTAAATTGAGGGACACGGCATCACTGCATAAGAAAAAGGCCAGTTTAGATGAAACCATTAGATCATAGACCTTTAGTACAATACATTGAGCATAACTTTTATTCTGAAGAACAAAGAATATAAATAGGAATATTTTGTGTAAAAACAAACAAAACAACAAAAAATCAAACTAAACTAAATAACATATTCAATCGAGGACCTGCAGCGCCTCATGCAGTTCTGTTATCTTGCAGTCATACTCTGGCATACCTATTTCTCTCTCTCTCTCTCTCTTGTTTACTTGTGCAGATGAGGCTAAATTGGAAAAAACAACGGGGAACTGGCTAAAAGCGAAAAGTGGACGCAAGAAGAGATGTCCTTACACAAAGTATCAGACACTTGAGCTGGAGAAGGAGTTCTTGTTCAACATGTACTTGACTCGAGAGCGCCGTCTGGAGATCAGCAAGAGTATCAACCTCACAGACAGACAGGTCAAGATCTGGTTCCAAAACAGAAGGATGAAGCTAAAGAAGCTCAACAGAGAAAGTCGCGTCCGAGAGCTAACAGGCTATAGCTTCAACTGAGGGCGTAAGAAACAGACAGAAGAAGAAATCATAAAAATGCATATTCTCTCGCGTCCCCCACGTTCAGACCCTCTCTATTTTTTTATCTCTTTTTTTTCCCCTCTCTCATTTATCCCTTTTCATTCACAGACTCACATACACACATAAAAATATAAAATAGCAAAGGCCCATGACTTTCATTTCAAAGGAACTGGAATACCCACAATTGCACCCGCGTCTAATTTATCATTGTGGAACAGAACTGAATAATTGTAAATATGACAGTAGCGGAAGAAAAGGATGCTTGGTGCAAATATTCGTGGCAGATTTGTAATTTTGAAAACCCTTAACACAGAATATAAAAGCGAGATTTCTATTTGGATTGTCTTAGCGTAATTTGTTTGCTGTCAGTGCGCGTGTCGTATACATCGCGCACTCTGTATTTTGCATGCTTTGTTCTTGACGTGTATTTGTCAATATGATGTTTAACTCGAGAGGCTGAAAAATAAAACAGGGGGTGGGAAAATATTATGTCCTGGTATGTCCTTCCCCTTGCATATTTTCTCCTGTATTCTGGTGACAGAAATTTTGGGTGAAGATAGGGAAGAGAGGCAGAAAGAGAAAGTGCATAGCACTTTCAGTATGAGTGGAAGACCCATAACGTTGATTTAAATATTATCCAGGTGACCACAGTAAGTCAAGGTCATAAAATTGTAATGTCATGACGGTCCTGGAAAGCGCTGGGGGTGGATTTTATGATCTGCAAATATAATGTGCTGCTGCAGTAAAGATGCATTAAAAGGTGAGTGGAGGAGGGCTAATTCACATACTCGGGACTGCAATGTGCTGGCCTCACTGACGCGCTCTGCGGGCTGCCTGGCTGTTTTGGAACCAGGAACCTTTCATTATGGAGTTATGGAACGCTATGATACGATGGACTGAACACGGAAGAATAAAAGAACTACAGCAGCGGTGAATGAATGAGTGGATCCTATGAGCGACGCTAATGAGACCGTGTGCAGAACGTTCAAGGTAGGATAACGTTTTCCTTGTTTTCCCCCCCTACTGAGCTGAGGGAGGCTTTTCTGGATACTCTTACGCGCTGGCATGGATAACAGCTTTGTTATAAGCGCATTTCTTGACAAGTGGACTTTGCTCTCTGTGCTTCTGACAGTTGTTGTTAAGAGAGTGCTGTTGTGGATGATGTGCCCCATGCAACTTCCAAGCACAAGTTAAAGATCTACTTATACTAACATTACGTCTTAAAAATTAATTTCAACTATTTGCAGTCCCTCTGAAGGACAATCTTTTTACAACAAATTTATTTTTATTATAACAATTTGTTCACAGGTGCGTTTAGCTCTGAAAAAAAAGCAACAGGAAACTCATTTGCCAGATTAATTCTTTTTGAACATCTGTACTTATTGCATGCTAGTAATTTGTCAATGGGTTCGACATTTTTTTTAGCAATAGCAATAGGCCTGCTGGTTTATAGAAATGTCAATTGGTGTTCATTTTGGTGTTTACTCTTAAAACTACCCGAAAGCCATGGTCTCGGGCAAATGCTAAAGAAACACAACAGACGAGGTTTGATTAAATTAGCGCTCGAGGCTCTGAGGAATGGAATAAAATCCTTACTTATCTGTGCAGAGTTTGTTGTATGTCTCCTCCTGTGGATAACGCCGTTACGCGCGGCTGGTGCGTGGTTTAGGTAGTTTCATGTTGTTGGGATTGGCTTCCTGGCTCGACAACAAGAAACTGCCTTGATTACGTCAGTTCGTCTTCATCAAGGGCGACAATTGCCGTTAAATTACACCCTGTGCAATGAAGTTTCCGCAAATGGCATTGTAAATGAACTGAACGATTATAGCCACAGCGGGCTCTTTTTCTCTTTTGCTCGCCTTTGTGTGTCGGGCTGTAAAAGAGAATTTAGACTCTCAGAGGGAGAAAGGACCGTTAACATTATGGTGCAAACTTAGACTGTTCCTTATTATGGCTTATTCTTTTATTCCAATATATGGCCCAAAGTGTTTTAGTCACTTTTTAACAGTAGAAATGTTAGTGGCTGAGGTGCTAGCAAAGAAATGACAGACAGAAACAGAGAAATTGTGGACTGACGGACACAGAAAAAGTGCAGATTATTTATCCAGCTATTAATTATATAAATTGATCAGCTATGAATTTATTTCCATGTAGTTAATTGTAATTGTGTTTGTGTATGTGTGAGACTAATCGCCTTTACAAATTTGATCCACTTCGTCTGCTTTGATTTTGTAGCCTACTCTCAGAAACGTGACCCAACAATTACAAAATCTCTTGATATGTGTTTTGAAATAGTGGCAGATTACTTTACACCCACATGTGGGCCAACCCAACCCAACCACACAATTTTTAAGCTATAAACAGCCTGGCTCAAATAGCAAAATTGCATTTGTAAAAGAACGTTTAAACACTTGCTATAACAGACATAACAGCAACATGAGCAGTAGCAGTGGTCAGTAGCAACAGCACATGCTAAACGTTAAAAAGCGTTGCCACAGCAGAATTACTGTGGCTAGTATCCAAGGCAAACAATGTTTGACCTGTTACTTCCGTGCTCTATAAACAGTGAACCTGTGTGGTTCCTTCACGGATATTCATATTCTTCTACCATATCAGACCTTTCAAAAAAAATCGTCAGTATATATATATATATATATTTATGCTAGGCCTACACACGCACACAGCTTGTCGCAGCTTGTCTGAAATGTATACTCATCATATGAATTCTAAATTCTGCAGTTATTTCTACATTTACATTTATTAATTAGTAAAACATTTTAGTAGCCTATACGATGCTTTAGAAAGGCAGAGAAAGAGAACAAGATTTTTAGGCAGTTAATGTGCATTTTGATTAATGTCTGGAAGATGGAAGAAACTGTTTTTTGAAACTTGAATATTTCTAAATAATGATAATAAGAAAAAAAAAAAAAATGTATCATCATTTTTAAATTGGTCAACATTTGTGGGTTACTCCAAATCAGGAATCGGTAAATCTCAGTATTTGTGCTATGACTTTATTTACACTGTACAGTAGGACAGAATGCCTCCTAAAACCATATAAATAATATGTGTAAATACTAGGCTAAATTAGTTAAGGTAATGTTTTTAAGAAAGTTGTTAGTTGGAAAGGGCCTCATCAGTTACTTGTCCTTTTTCCTGGGAGAGTATAGTCTTTGGATTTCACCAGATATGCTTGTTTTCTTAACCCCCTCCCCTCCCTTCAGCTGTTTTGCGACGGGAGGAGACAGTCTGGAATCCAAAGTCATTTTCATTCAGTTGAGTGAATGGGGTTCTCCTCTGGAATGCGTCACCAACAAAGAGTTTACAGCACGCGTAATAGCCCCACAGGACACTGCCGCCGAGCATGCGGATATAGCGGCAATATCCTCAAACAGCCTAAGGATTGGTAGACATCAAAACACCTAGCCTACTCTTGCTCAGTATATATATATAATATGTTGAATTGTTGGCTTGCATTCAGAAGCATATAGTACTGTATGTGTGACACATTCCGCATTAGGTCTGTCTGTAGCATTAGCAATGGCCTACCCCTGTGATGTAAACATTTGAATAGATGTCCACACACAGATACTGAGACGAGAATTTAACACAGATTATGGTTGCTGCTTATTTTCAGTGGGCTTGAATGAGGATATTGATTAACTGTTGATTTTTTGTTTTTTTACATTGTTCCTTTAATTGATACTATTTTAGTTTGTAAACCTAAAGGCCAGTTTCAGCACACGTGTACAATTTGACAGGATTAATGTAAATTAATTTAGTTTTTTCTTTTATGTACTGCATCATGTTGGAAACTGCCATTGTTCGCCCTCATTCTCTGCATGGTATGTTACGAGTTTGTCCGGAACAGGTTGGATTGCTGCTTGAGCTTAATAGAGAAAGAGTTTCCAATCCAAAGCAAGTTTTGCTAAATAAAGGTATTTTACTCGGCTTTTTGCAACAAAGTATGAATTTAATCTTATACCCCAAAATATATATTTTTTATATATTAGCTGGTGTTTTCACTTGTCTTGGACACAAGCAATAACTCAATATATGCTATTAATTTAAATACTTTTTTGACTGAAATTTTAAACCTTTGCACTTTTCCCCTCCGGAAACAATTAGGACTATATGATAGCATACTTATATAATACTGTAGTATGGTAGTGTTATGTCTATCAGTTCTGTAGATAAACGGATAAACTGTTAACATTTTGCTTTATTTTGTATCCTCCCGTCTCCCGTGAATGAATACAAAGATATCTGACACATAATAGTAAAAAAGGATAACATCTAATCGGTATGGTGTATTGGGATGTTCACGTTGACCATGGCGCACATAAGGCCGTTTAAAAGCAAAAAGACTAAAACCAACAAAAACATTTTTTTTTAATCCATGACCTTATTTACTACTTAACATATTGAAGTTATATTCACAATTGTATTTTATTTTAGGCGCATTGGCGCTATAAAGGCTATATGGGTCTAGATACTGCAATATTTGAATAATCCTCCGTATACTTCACAACAACAAAAACAACAAAAAATAAAAAAATAAAAAAATAGTTGAATAAATATAAATGCTAGCGCTTGAAATAAACTAAGAAAAAAAATAAAATATTGATTTTTAACCTGCTCTTGACTTTTAGGTGTGCTGTTTTTTCCCCAGCTATACTATGCTGAAGTCGATCAAAAAGCTGCCTAATTTTAAAAACAGATAGGAAGCTGGAGATTAATGTTGAGAGATTCCCGTAAATCAAAGTGCATTAGCAATGATGCTGCCGTGCTGTTGTAGTCTGAGAAAGGACAGTACACTCTGATGTGTTTAATGACAACTTAAAATCAATTAAAAGGATTCAATTATGCCAATGCAAGAAAATGGTATTTGTATATTATGAAGCTACATTGTGTTTTAGTCACACGAGACTAAATGCGTTATTGTGGGATCATGGGTGAATAACCAGCTATAGCTGTAGCTATAGCCTAAACAAGAAATTGCTCCTTAAAGTGCTATATTTTAGATATGCTATTTTGTGAATTTCAGTATCTTAAAGACGTCTATTATGTGTATAAAGTCTGTGATGTTCTAAAAGCTAAACGTAAGGATGGATAGAAGAGTGAGTGAGCTCGTATAGCTCAGTTTTATCCTGAGTCACCCTGCACAGCTTCAGT